TTCAGAGCAATACACAATCTGCAAAATGACTCTTTATTATTCGAACTTGCCCCATTGCAGAAGTCTGCAGAACATCCAAGTACCTCATGAAAGTTTGAGCCACCAGATCTTCTTAATACGTCCAAGTGTCTAAGCTGAACTGTTAGTGACGGCGCTGCATTGCTAATGTGCTGTGATGTTACATAATGACATATCATCTGTAAAGAAACCTGTTATCTTACCTTCCCCACTGGGATTCCTCAGCAGGTTTCTGGTCATGATTGCAGTTTATGGTGGGAAGGCACGGCCTGAAAAACAGTAAACAGCTGTTGAGATCAATAGTTCTCTCCACTGCGGTTTCTGCACTGTATAGATCCACCTATCCCATCCACCAGCACAAATCAGGCCTCGGTTCCTTTTAAAGTGCAACTGCATCCTCCACAGTGGTGTGTTTCCATGACACAAGGATCGCATTTATATTAAAGGGCAAATACTTTAGACTAGCTGGACTCTTTGAGATATTTAGTGGAGTTGAGGTCATTCTGAACAACAGTGGCAATGTTGGGTCCAGCTGAACTCAGGAGCTCAAAAAAAAACAGCCCATATGTGAGAGAACCTGCAGTTTCACTAATACCCTGTCTGCTGACTCACAGCCCAGCTCAGCAGATGAGGCAAAAAGCCTGGCTCTTTACATGCTGAATAGGAGGAATCACAGCGGATCAGTCAGCATGATAGCCTAGCACTTTATCAAACCACTCTTGCCTTGTGTATTGTCTGCTTACCGGCTCAGAAACCCCCCAAAATTTACTTAATTTCAAGGAATTTTTAATCAATTTTCTGTTGGGGTGCATGATGCTAATGCACCTCAGGTTGTGAGATGTTAAAGAAGTCACAACTCAAATAGAAATAACTAGTTTTTAAGTATTTTTTTGTTAGGGTAATGTACCCAAGGCCCAAGGTTTGAGTCAAACAGAGCTTTGTGCAGTAAACACATTAGAGTTGTGTGTCTGTCAACCGAGACTCAGCTGAGTCATCTGCCCCTGCAGAGGCATAAAAGATGCAGCACATGCACATTCAGGACAAGCTCTACTGTAAATTACACACTCGGTTCTGTGTAACTACGTAATATCCTACATGAGTTACTCACAGCTGAGGAACGCCGAGTGCAGTCTTCTGTTTCCTCGGTCTGGTTCTGTGACCCACACTTGAGCTCCTCTGCAGGGCAACACCACAGACTGTAGCACCCACGTGACGAACGGGCTTTTATAGGCAGAGACCAAACACACACTCATGCAGAGAAAGAGAGAGGGGAAGGAAGGGGAGGGGAGACACCAAACACCCGATGTGCAAGCTGGGAGGAAGCATCCATTCAGTGGAACCACACATTGTCTCAGTACAAATATCAGTCAGAGCAGCAGCAGCAGTGGGGCAAGAAAAAACTTTCTTTTTTTTTTTTTAACAGTAGGTTGAAATCAGCAAGAGTTATGCTTGAAAAACAAAAGCTCATCAAAGTGTGTTACCACTTCTAAATAAATAAAAGAAGCAAGAAAGCCCGTACCCATAACCAGCAAGATAAACTTAAAAATAACCTGATTGTGATCATGTTCGGGTTTCAGATTGCAGCCGGGGAACTTCTCAGGAAATCTTAAAGGCCTTGGAGTTCACAGAGGACTGAGTAATTTCGCGTGACATCCTGTGAAGAGCTTATTTTTTGTTTTCTTGTCGCTGTTAGAAGTGAGCTGCTGCATTTTAAACTAATTTATTCAAACAAGGAGACAATCACAGCCACCCGCTCTGAAGGAGATGATTTTTTTGTATGAGTGTGCATCACTAAAGGTTCTGTATCATGCACCTTTTCAGCAAATAAATAAAAGTCTCATGTGTACCCACAGTGTATCTTTTACCTGTGATAGCCCCTGAGGTCATCTTGTATTTGTGGGTGGTTCTAGTTCGGCTGTTGGTTCTGTGAGTGGCTGTTTAAGGTAATCAGGAGCACCTGTGACACCCAGTGTGTTCCTGGGTTACTTAAGGGCTGACTGCAGTCTAATCTCTCTCTACTCTGCTTCCCTCTGCAGGTATTGCATCGGTCTGGTCATGGGTTAGTTTTCTTTGTTTAGGACATTTGCATTGACAACACTTGCACAGACATAATTCATGCATACATCACACACACACACCACTGACTCCATGTATTCTCACAACCCCATATTGGTTTTTAATTTGATATAATTTAAGGGAATAAAGACAAACTTTAATTTTTGGAACTTGGTGTGTCTCTCTTTTTGTTGCGGCCGTCTTGAGCCAGGTCGTAACATACCCTTTTAGTTACTAAACTGCAAACAAAGGTGGATTTCACCGTGACTGTGTTGCCCTGGTTTTAGGTCCGCCACTCTAACTAGCCTGTTTCAGTGTCTGAAGCTTTACGGTGCTGAGCTGCTGCTGTCCCCGCCCCCTTCAGGAAGAAGACTCTGTAACTTCCTGTTCCTGATGTAACCGGGTAAAAAGTGAACCACAGTCATAACCCAGAAAACCCAGAATTACAGCCAAAGTTTGCTCACTAACACCAAATCCTGCTTGAAGCACAGGGCTCTGAATAATCAGTGACGATGTAAGTATTTCGTACTGTCTGAAATCATCTCATTTCATCGGAGTGAGTCAACAAGTAGCAGCTGACAGCCTGTGTGCCGCCTGAACATGCATGCAGCTCGCGTGTTTTCATTCTTATGGATACATAAAATGCAGTGACAACCTCCAGCATGTTCGACCTGATCAGGGGGCAGATTGACCTTCTGTATGGTTGTGAACACATCAAATACCTGACAACTGTTTGACAGAGAACACCTTCAAAACAGAAAGCAAGCAGGGCCCCACAGCATCTGTTGCTTTCGGTGAAAACTTTGGTAGTGTGACATCAAGAAGCCAACAAGACAATCGCATGTGACACTGTTCCTTAAAGTTCACACAAAGTGGGATAAAGTTGATTCAAATTATGTTGTTGCGGCTGATGGACATTAAAGCGACTAATGGCTCCACTCAGTCCGTAAAATAAGATAAAACATTTAACAGTCAGCATCACTTTCAGCTGGGGCTGGATTTACCAGCAGCCAATAGCAACACCCACACCTAGCAAAAGAAACTAAACAAACCAGTGCCTCAAAACGGACACCAGCAAGAGACCACGAGTAACTTCTTCACAAAGTTGAACAGCCACTAACTGGAGTTGCACTAAGACACTGGTACCTCCCACACTAAACTAGCAGCTGCCAACAGAAGTTACATTTTAACACAAAGACAAGAGGCACCAGGGCAAACTGTTCACTCTGAATCTTCCCTGACTGAGAGTTTGGTTGAGGATTTATACTCCAGGTGCGACGACGGCTGCAGTTGATTAGAGGAAGCTGGAGCGAACCGGATTGTGGACCAATCAGACCGGCTGGGAGGCGGGGAGAACAGGGGCTGGAGAGCAGGTCTTCAGCTCCAGGCTAATCAGCTGAGATGACTGGCAGCTGGTGTTCTGCAGTGAGCTCTCAGCCAACCATGGCTTGGTCTACTCAGGCCATCTCCCCACACAGTGGTCACAAAAGTCCACCGTGTAAACAAGATGGCATGTAGGCACCAAGGGCCTCACCACGGTACTGTTAAATAAAAATAGATGATTGGGTTGAAGGGAAGAAATCAGTTGTTCTTGCAACAATACTTGAAGATACTTAAAACTCCTTCACCAACCCTTCTCCAACCTGCAGGGGGCACTGCAACATTTCACCATAGCCACAGATTAGGCAGTGCTGATCCTCATCCCAGCTGCTACACACTTGACTGCAAACTGCCCCAGTGCATGATGATGGTCACATCCAGACAACGCCAACGGATGTCATTTGCAGAAAACAGGGATGCAACCCTGAGGTCACCAAACTGGACACACTGCTGCCCTCAGCTCTGCCTTGAAACTCGACTCCCCCAAAAAAGCATCTCAAGTCAATAGCAAGAGTGTTGATTTTGTCCCTTTTACTCTTAGATGACTAGACTTCTGTGTGGGTATACAAAAATCAGGTTTTAATCTGGGCCACAACACCAATAGGTCATAACACAGTGAATACATTGCATCATACACAAAGTACCTCCCAATATGGGAGAGGAATAATTCAAGTTAAACATTGCAGTTTCATCAAGTTTTTCCTGCAGACAGTACAGTACAACATTCAACAATCGATAGGAAAACACTGTGCCATAAATAACAAGTGGTGTATACATAATACAAAAGCAGGAATTTACAGAATTGTCAAACATTGAGATCGCAAACATGGCTTAAAATGCACCTTTTCAGAATGAAGAAGTCCTGCAGGTTTAGTGCTTTTGTTGGAGGTGCATTTGTTTTTTTCTGTGTCCATACAGGAGCTCTGTATGAGGAGTATTTTCCACAGGTTTGAGCTCCTAAGCAAGCTCTGATTGTACAAACGAATGTCCAGAAACAGCAGTGCATATTCAACTGCGTGACCCCCGTCACCTTCTCTGCTTTGGCATTTTAGTGCAGCACCAGATATTATGTATTCCAGTGACGCAGCGCCCACAATTGTCCTTTCATAAATGGGTTGGCTGCTCATCATTGGCAAGTTCTGTTATTTGTTTAGGAATGCGGCGGCGCTTCCAGTTCTTTGGAGCAGCTGCAGAAAGACGCTCTACGCTTCAGAGGACGCCTGGGGTTTCAGCTGGGCTTTCTCCAGTGTCGTACCGTACGGATCTGACCTTTTAAAAAAGCCCATCTGGAGGGAAACAAGATACAAAACAAAAGAGGAGACATCTTTATCTGTTTCACAGGCTTTACACCTCGGAAAGTTTCTTATTCACAGTAAAAAATTAAAAAAAAAATAGTTTTAAGCTACTCAAGAAAAAGGGCTTTTCTTTCATTTCCTGTCCACATGTTAACACTAATTAAACACTGTATATACTAAGACAACCGTACTGTTAGTATGAAGCACAACACATTGAAGATTAACTTAGTATTTGTTGTTTTGTGTCCGTTTTAATGGGTTTTTGCTCAATCACTGGTAGAACATTTTCTCATTTCTATGTTAGTTGTCAGTGAAGTTTATCAAAGCAAAACTGACCTTATACAATAGATATATAAGCACAGCTAGTAATAGCAGGCCGACTAGAACCGCCAGGATGATGATCCACACTGGAACCGAGAAGTGACTGTCTGGTTTGTTCCACAGCACAGTCGTCACCACCTGAACAACAGAAAGCCGCAGACATTACACTGACATTCATATTTAATACAAATGAAGTTTATTAGCTTGGGAAATTCTAAAAAAGAAAAACTGACAAAAAAAAAAAACAGATGAAATGACCTTTTGGGATCCCGATGCCTTGAATTTGGGAGGAATAGAATACGGCATCTTGTTCACCTTGAACTGAACAGAGCACTCCAGGATGTACTGTTTATGGGCACGCTGTGGACAAACAAAGGGCAGTTAGAAAAACAAAGTATTTCATGATAAACCGACAGGATATGTGAAATTGCAAGTCAGCATGCTTTGAACACTCAACAAAAATGAAAACACAGCATGCAAACGTCTTCTTTTCTGACTTAGAGAAGAAGTTAAAATCTAATTTATATTGTCTTGGTAAGAAAAATGATAATTTTAAAAGCAACTGTGCGCAAGAAGTTTTTGAGCTCTTCAGCTGGTGACAGATTCTGAACTACTGAGACGCTCCTTTGACCAGTGACTACAAAAGGCCAACATAAAATACAACTTTATTCAGATGACATGAGGTTACAGATGACAAAAGAAAGACGGATGTGACCAGGCACTTGAATGTCCACAACGGCATTCTGTTTGTTGGAACACCAAATACTTAATACCCTAAAAAGACTGGATGGAATCTTATAAATGATTCCATGCTGTGTCTGGGGAGATGTTCTAAAAAAGTGACTGACTATAGGAGTACACAAATAAAGCAAAAAAACATATTGGATGAAAGAAAATATTATTTGTATGTCCATGGTGTTGGGATGCGCTACCTTTAATCGTCCACCAGAGGGCAGTATAAGTGCACAGATTGTGTTTCTTTATCTTGGTTTCTTCATCCACTCTGTTTTTTTTTTCCTCTTGACATAACTTTCCTGTACTAACACCACACTTATGATCAACAACCCGTCGTCTCACCTCGATGAAGATTTCAGCCCAGATTCTGGAGCGGACGGTCAGGATGGCGCTGGCTCCTCTCTGCAGAAGC